AATTAATGATTAGGCATATAAACTCTACTGTTATAGCAGAATCAGTACATTTATTTTTAAAACTATAGGAATTCTCCCTCAGTAATACTAACCACAATCAAATATTTTTATTCTCTGTAGTTTCTCCCATCTCAACCTGTTTAGTGTACATAATTCAATCTATTCTCCCAAGCCTCACTTATCTACACAAAGCTACATTTCTGGAATCCTGTTCATTACTTAACTTTTTTACTATCACCTACACAACATGTCTCACTACAGCCTGAGTCATCTAACTCTTCCATCTTCTAGAACAGCGGCATTTTTTAATCCTCACACAAGGATATGTTTTATTGATTTCAGAGAGAAAGAAAAGGAGAGAAAGAAAGAGGGAAGAGAGAGAGAAACATCCATCAGTTGCCTCCAGTATGCACCTCAACTAAGGATCAAACATGCAACCCAGGTATGTACCCTGGCAGGGAAATAAACCCACAACCTTTTGGTGTATGGCATGATGCTCCAACCAACTGAGCCACCTGGCCAGGGCTAGAACAGTGGTTTTTAAACTTTACTTTCACAAGTAGTATCACCTAAAGCACTTGTAAGAAAAAATATATAAAAAATTACATTTCATCTTGTGCTTTTTCCAATTCTGATTCAATATAGTCAATATAGAAAGGGGCCCAGGAATCATCAGTTTAAATCAAGTTCCCCTCAAAACACACACACACACACACACACACACACACACACACACACACACACGAATGTAATGACCCTTCAGAGCCACAGGAAGAAAGTTGTATATCGCCCCTCTGTTGGGATGCCACATTTACTATATGGATGTTTCCAAAGATGTTCTGTATCAGATTTTATTATCTTAGGCTAGAATTTATTTTTACTCCAAACTGTAGGAGTGAATCATTGAACCCTCTTCTAAATTATGCATTTTCAGGTTATTTTGACCCCTAAAGCTATGAGCTTATATATATATATATATATATATATATATATATATATATATATATATATATATTCAAGGTGAATTTTCAGACTCAGAATTGAAAGAAAAAATAGTTTTTGCCTGCTGATTTTGAAGAATATCAGCTGATGTAAAATAAAGCAATAAAAATACTCATGGAAACTAAGGACAATGCCAAACAAATTCATATTACAATTAAAATTTTGATTTGTTCAACATAAGATAACAAAATGTGTTATTTTATAATATATAATTTTTACTCATAAAAGAAAAACTGTTGTAATGATCCTGATGTGGATATTTTCCAGACAAACAACAAATTGTCCTATACCATTAACATCTTGGTAACAAAGAACTTTCCAACCACATCTCTCATGCACTCTATCTCAAGTGGAACTTGCTACCACAGTCCCTTTAGCCTGCCCTGGTTCCATGTGCTTTCTTCCTTTCTCACTTCTGTTTCCTCACCTTAGCATGGTTGAAATATGATTATTCTTTAAGACCCAGCAACACTGCTATCTACCCCATTATATCTCCTATATCCCTTCAGCAAAAAACAGCCAATCCTCCCAACTTCCTCTGGCACTTTCTGTCTGCTCTGACATGAGTAATTAGGTTTATCTCTAACTATAATTACCTTAATTCACAAATACTGATTTTTTACAATAAAGTCAGAGACAAAGACTTATCTTTGTATTGTCTATAGTACCTAGACCAGGCAAATATTCCAATGTTTGTAGTAAATGAATCAGTGAAGACAGAAAGCATACTAAAATACTTCAGTAACTGGCAGCTTCTCTAACTGGATATAAGAGGGGACATAATAAGAAAATATTCTTTAAAAACATCATAATAAGAACAAATAAATATTTGAATTGTTTTAAACAAATTATCTCAAGCTCAACACTATTGACCTTTTGGGGCAAATAATTCGTTGGTAAGGGGAATATCCTCTGCATTTTAAGATGTTTAGCAAGTATTCTGGGCTTTTATTCACTAGATACCATTCACAGCTGGTTTTCCCTCAGTTGTGACACCCAAAAAAATGTCTTCAGACATTGTCAAATGACCCCTCGGCTGACAAAAGCACCCCTGGTTGAGAACAACTATTTTAAAGTGAAACTATTTTCTTGGACTACACAAGAAAAAGCCAGAGAATGCTAACAGAGAATAAAGAAAAAGGCCCAGATATAATGGAAAAACTCTAATAGGAAGAATAACATCTGTGACATAGGAAAAGAATACAGTGCAGTCTCACATTTATAGGGAGGAAAGAAAAGATGACATAAAACTTGATGAGCAACTGTATGGTTTTCAATTGGGAAAAAAGGTAGATGCCAAAAACCCATACCTGAAAATCATATCTTTGAACAAGTTTTTAAATATTTGCTTAAGTTTTGAGAATTTAGGAAGAAATAGGTCATCACTAGGATTATACATGGGCCCATTAAGATCAAATTGTGCCATACAGACCTCATAACTTTTATGATCATAAATTGGAAAATTCTGAATTATATTGCAAGAAATTAGATAAAATCTAGCACAATACCCTTTTAAAAGGTGTTGGGGCAGAAACTGAATGGCCATACTCCTGGAAAAAAAACCCCAGTCTTTCTTTAGGAATAAGTATGCAGCCAATAAACTAAGAAAACTTTCCATCTCCATAACTGTGTAACTGAAAGGACTATATAATATTCAGGTCAAGCTTTCTCTTCTCATTGATGAAACTCATGGGAAAGAGTTCTCAGTAGAGCAGTCTGATGATCGTAGAGAAATGGAAACCCATTCAGCAAAAGGACATACCACAGGAAGCTAAAACCAGGGATACAGATTTACTACTTGACTGAAAGCTTCAAGAGGACAGAAATAACACCTGATTAGCTATTATTTATCACGCACATAGTAGCTCCATAATTACTACTGAAAGAATGACTGTCATCAATCTAATTTAATTCTATTTATCTGTGAAGGTAAAACAGTGGCCTTCAACTGGAGGAGCCAGGAGGCTCAACTATACTTATTACTCAGCTGCAAGTTTGAAACCCATAAGACAAGTTGAGAAGGGGCTTTCTGGCTGCTACTGCTATTGAGGTTACTTGTGTATGAGCCACTGTTATCTTCCAAAGATGCTAACTTGGTGCTCTCCCAGCAGTGAGAATGTACTAAACATGATTTGCTCCTCCCACACATGCTACAACCTAACTGTGGAAAGAAGGGTTGACTGTCCTTCCTTCTTTGATATTGAAGAGAGGAAGACTCAAGAACAAACATCCATAACTAAACAGTGCAGTCTGTAGCACTCTCTGAGGGTCATGTTTAGGTGTCCTCACATTTCAGGCAGAGGAAGGGGGTGGGAAGCCTAGGATGACAATCAATATAAAATACAGTTTCATGATAAGAAATGCTGTCAATATGGTAATGACTTGTTTAAACATTTATTAAATCACTTCACAACAAATAGTAACACATGAAGTGTTATCCTCACATTTCACAGCGACATCACTACTAAAGCAGAAGAAAATGCTAGCCAAACTGTTTTAAAATCATCAATATATTATTCAGTTAATATTGAGTGGTTTAATTATTCTTGCCTGTTTACAAGCAACCTTTTTACAAACAAATTTAGCAACCTAATGCCATCATGGATGTATTATTATTGCTGAGAAGATCAATGTCTAAAATCAGGAAATCCATATTAGTGTATCCACAACACAATAATTTTTAAGTTCTCTTTTCAGGCCTTCTCTATTTTAGTGTGATTTTCAATGATCATGGATTATAACAAATGTTTTATTGATAACAGAATTACAATTTTAAAAGTGTAATTTAAAAATGATGTGAATTTCAAATTCAATCAGATGTTTCTGTTTTCGTTTTTCAACGTTTACTCCAAAGAACAGTAATGAAGGAAAGAATATGTTAAAAACACACTCTTATAGATCATCTCTAAAATGCTCACTATTCTCCAGATAGATAGATGATAAATAGATAGATAGATAGATATTTTTCACATAGAATATTGCTGAATTGGCTTGTTTATAGGTCAAAGAAAATTTCTGTTAATGTAACCTTGTATGTTTATTTATTACCATTGTATGTTTATTTATTACCTGAGTAATTTATATTTGTATTCATTGAGATGTACAATAGGCTATAATGTTTAATGGTTTAAGAAACAAATTGGCCATAATATTAAATGGTTTAAGAAAATCATCAAAGACTGAAGAGGTAGTTCAAGGCTCATGTGGCAGTTCCACATAACTGGAGACCCAAAATCCTTCTTTAATGTTACTTCACCACCCATTGCCTGCCTTCGGTTGAAGATTGGAAGATGGCTCACCACCATGGCTACAGGGTCCTCAATTTAAGCTTGGAAAAGTTGGCGGGGGAAGGGGGGATGGCATGTAAAACAGAGCCTGCCCTTTTGTTAAAGGCACTATTAAGAAATTGTCCACATAACATACCTTTGGCCAGACCTTGGTCACTGAGCCACTCTAAACTACAAGATAATTGGAAACTTTTGCCTTGATTTTGAATAGTAACATGCCAACCAATAATTTGTAGATTCTATCACTAAAGAAAAGGAGAAATAGATATTAGGGACATATGCAAGTCTCTGCCAGACTTTGAACAATTTTTAGTATTTAAATGAAGTTCAGTCTTACTGTTCTTGGAAGAAGCAGAAAATGCCTTGTCTTTTATTAGCCAAAACACCTGATCCCAAACAATGGAACAGCAGTCCACCCCAGGAGATATTAAATTGGCTTCTGTTTTAATTATCTGACAGATTATTCTCAGACCAGCACATTCTGATCTCAAATCCAGAAACGTCTGACTGAAAAAAATCTGGGTGTCATGGAAGCCTGAATTCTGTGCCCACTATTCATGCTGCACAGAAATGAGAGCAAGCTATAATAGGACACATGATTTTATGTTGAAGATAATTCAGGAGGAGAGAACTTCCTCTCTTTTGCCTGATAGATCATGAACCACACAGACTGAGAACAAGAGAGGTGATATAAATGATCAAAGAACCTACCACTTTCTTTGGACTCTGAGTTTGTGATAAGCTGAAGCCCGTGTACCTAATTAGTGGCAGATGGAATGGCATCTATGTAGTCTGATTCTCAGTTGGGTGTTTTCCCCATCGTACCAAAGTGCCTCCAAATGGCAACCTGTATCAATAAAAACACAATGAGAATGCTCAGGTTATTATATTGATAATCCAAAAAATCCCGTCGGGGGAGGAGAGTCGAGAGTAAAAATCCAGTGAATAGTAAAGAGGCTTATATAATTTATGAGAACAGGATTCTTATATGTTTTGTCTACACTATCCCTGTCATATATTAGGCACTAAAAAAATCTGTGGAATTAATGAATAGATTTGTTTCATACAACCACCAGTCTCTACCTCAAGCTCAAATTTTGCAGACTCTGTGAGACAGCTCTTGATGGACCAGAGGCAGCAGAGTGCAAAAGCAAAGTACTTGAGGGTGGCCTCCCAATCAGGCCCCAGTAGCCAGAGTACAGCTGGGCCCCCTTCTCCATTGGAGCAGAGTGGACCCCTCTAATCACAAGCACACACCAAGCATTCAGAGTTTTCTCCCAGAAACATGTCCCTTGAACGTCTAAAGATGTTTTATTTTCCCTGCTGCCTTCTTCTCCCAATCTTTTCAATTTCTCTTTAGAAACAATAATCAGCTTGGTCCTTCTCCTCACTTACCACACCCAGAAGATTTAAAAAATAGAAAATTTTCTTAAAATAATGAGTAATTCAACACTGAAAAATTCTCTGGTAATTCAGTATGACCAACAGTCCTCTGATCATATGTTGCATCCTACCAACCCAACTGTAAAATTCCCAGTTCACCAGAGAAGCTTGGGATGGACTAGAAAAAGCAAATTGTCAAAGCATTGTGGAGCTACCTCTATTCCAGAAAGAAAAATGAAAGAGATGAGGGCAAAATAGAAAAAGACAAGTAACATGCATTGATGGTGCTGCTATAATAATAGTAACTCAAAACTGTTGAGTATTTTGCAGTTAAGACAATTCCATGGTACACATAATCAAATTGAGGCTCAATATTCCTAAGTGGATTGTTCAATATCATGCAATTTATACATTTTACAGCATGGAACCAGACTGAAGTCCTTTGAAGTCCAAAAATGTCATGTTCTTGTCAATACACCATGCTACCTTTTAACAGATTAACATGAATTCTGAAATAATAAAAGAGCCTTATATCTTCTGTGGATGCACTGAAAGAAACAGTTGTTTAAAACCGTGGTATTGTTGCCTAGTAATTTATCACCTGATAGATGTTACAGTAATTTAATAAGAATAATATGCTAAAGTTCATGAATAGCTACTTTTTCTATGGCTTAGAGCTGATACACCTGTCACCGTCACTCACTCACTTGTATTTTAACACATTTTTGGGGGGTGAATACAAAAATGGCTATCACTTTCAGGCAAGCATTCGCACAGAACTTTGCCTCCATCAGTGAGAGTGCACCATAAAGGTAGGATAGCAATTTTTCATGTGTTATGTGAGAACTTCTGGGTCAAAATAAGGAATCTGTAAACTACTTTCTTTCTTTCTTTCTTTCTTTCTTTCTTTCTTTCTTTCTTTCTTTCTTTCTTTCTTTCTTTCTTTCTTTTCTCTCTCTCTCTCTCTCTCTCTCTCTCTCTCTCTCTCTCTCTCTCTCTCTCCCTCTCTCTCTCTCTTCTACTGACCACAAGCAGCACAAGCTACAATGCAAATTTATAAATCCATACCATTACATAAATTGAATATGTGGGACCAAAGATAATTATGTTTGTATACAAATGCCAGCATATTGCCTTCAGTTAGGTCTATAAGTATGACTAAAGGAGTATGGAAAACTGGAACACAATTCAAAGCACAGAGATCACCTAACATCAGTTAGAACGAATGCTATTTCTCTAAGATCCTCTAGGTCAGGGGTCCTCAAACTACGGCCCGCGGGCCACATGCAAATACAAATATTGTATTTGTTCCCATTTTGTTTTTTTACTTCAAAATAAGATATGTGCAGTGTGCACAGGAATTTGTTCATAGGTTTTTTTTTAAACTATAGTCTGGCCCTCCAATGGTCTGAGGGACAGTGAACTGGCCCCCTGTTTAAAAAGTTTGAGGACCACTGCTCTAGGTCTACATCAGGTCATTTTAATTGATTGCTCATCATACCAGTGTTTTGTGCACACATTCAATACTAGTTACTGATCTTGTATTTATTCATTGCATTTTTGTCTTTTCTCCAACTGTAAACACTCCCTGAGGGCAGGAAATGTTTTAATCATTTTTATACATCCATAAAATCCAGGTGCTCATAAAATGTCTACTTAATAAAAATGGGTGATTGGGATTGGAAAGTAGAACCTATGTTTAAAAAAAAAAACAAACGGTGGGAATTCCTTAACCTGAGGTGTGACCAGAATAAGAGTATTTAATGAATGATAGTAAGGCGGATCAGATAGTGATAAAAAAAAACTATCTAGAATGTGCTAGTTCATGTGAGGCTTCATAGGACTCTGGCTTTTACTCTGAATCTCATGGAAAACTGCTGGAAGATTTTGTACAGAGGATTCAAATGGCTGTTATGTTGTGAATGCTTTGTAGGGGGACAAAGGGAGAGAGAGAGAGAGAGAGAGAGAGAGAGAGAGCTCTCGCTTAGGTTATAGCAATAATCCAGGCAAGAGATTATGTTGACTGTGATAAGATTGTTACTCATGAAGGATGTAAGAGGTGATCAAATTCTGGTTTAACAATATATCTAAAGTATAGTCAATAGGTCTCCATATAAGTTGGTTTCTATATGTGTAAGGGGGGAAAAAAAGCAAAGATGAATGCAAAATTTTTGTCTAAAAGAGTAAGAAGGATGGAGTTTAAGCCTTTAGCCTGCATCACATTGCTGAGGGAGGGAGTACAAAGAAGCAAAGAGTTATAATGTAGGAGATCAAGCACTCTGATATTTAGAAGTGGCCAGAGATGTAGAAACAGAACCAAGGAAGAATGCTGTTGTTAAAATCATGTGAAGAAATTATTTTAAGAAGGAAGAAGGAAGGCTTCAGTGATTCATTTTTTTAAAAAGTGTCTCACAAACAATGATGATCAAGGATCAACAATTTAGCAAAATGGTAAACACTGGTAAACTTAAGAGATACATGTAGTAGAGAAATTAGTTTAAAAGCCTGTTGTTATGGGGATAAAAGAGAACAGAGAAGAGGACCTAGACATAGTGGGTATCAACAACTGTCTTGAAAGGTTATGCTTTAAAAGAAAGCAGAGAAATGGAGAAGAAACTAGAGAGGGACATGAAATTACAAAATGACTTTTTTAATAGACTTTTTGTTTATAAATCCTCACTCGAGGATATGTTTTTATTGATTTTAGAGAAAAGGGGTGGGGAGAAACATCAATTGGTTGCCTCCCACATGCACCCCGACCTGGGATTGAACAACAACCTAGGTATGTGCCCTGACAGGGACTTGAACCCTCAATTTTTTTGGCGTATGGAAAGTGCTCCAACCAACCGAGGCACCCAGCCAGGACAGACCTCATTTTTTAAAACAGTTTTAGACTCAGAGCAAAATTAAGCAGAAGGTACAGAGATTTCTCATTTACTTCCAACCACCACATATACATATGCTCCCTCATTATCAACATTTCCCACCAGAGGGGTATATTGTCACAAATGATGGACCTACACTGACACATTATTATCACGTAATGTCCACAGTTTATATTAGGGTTCACTCTTGGTGTTGTGCATTCTATGAATTTGGACAAATGTATAACGATGTGTATCTATCATTATAGTATCATACAGAGTAGTTTCACTGCCTAAAGAACCCTCTGCACTCTGCCTATTTATCTCTCTCTCTCTCTTAACCTCTGGCAAGCAATGGTTTTTTGCAGTCTCCACTGTTTTGTCATTTCCAGAAGGTAAAATAGTTGAAATCATACACTATATTACCTTTTCAGAATGGCTTCTTTCACCTAGTAATATACTTTTTTTAAGTTTCCTCCAAGTCTTTTCATGACTTGATACCTCATTTATTTTTGGCACTGAATAATATTACATTGTTTGACTGCAGCACAGTTTATTTAGCCATTTACCTACTGAAGGGCATCTTGATTGCTTCCAAGTTTTGGCTACTGTGAATAAAGATACTATAAACATCCATGTGCAGGTTTTTGTGTGGACATAAGTTTTCGATTCCTTTGGGTAAATAGCAAGGAGTATGATTGCTCGATCATATGTTAAGAGTATATTTAGTTTTGTAAGAAACCACCAAGCTGTCTTCCAAAGTGGCTGTACCATTTTGCATTCCCACCAGCAACGAATGAGACTTCCTGTAGTTGCACATCCTCACTGGCTTTTGGTATTGTCAGTGCTTTGGATTTTGATCATTTTAATAGGTGTGTTGTGGGACCTAGTTGTTTTAATTTCCATTTCCCTGATAACATATGATATGGGGAATCTATTCACATGTTTATTTGCCATTTGTATATCTTCTTTGGTGAAGTGACTGTCAAGACCTGTGGCCCATTTTTAAATTGGATAGTTTGTTTTCTTACTGTTGAGTTTTGAAAGTTCTTTGTATATTTTGGATAACAGTTTTTTATCAGATGTGTCCTTTGAAAATATTTTCTCCTACTCTGTGAGTTCTCATCTCATTGTGTTGAAACTGTCTTTCTCAGAAGAGAAGTTTTAAATTTTAATAAAGTCCAGATTATCAATTCTTTCTTTCATGCCCTGTGCCTTTAATATTGCATCTAAAATGTCATCATCAAACCCAAGATCATCTGGATTTTTTCCTGTGCTATCCTTTAGGAGTTTGATAGTTTTGTGCTTTACACTTATGTCTGTGATCTATTTTGAGTTAATTTTTGCAAAGGGTGTATGTCCACTCCCACACTCCTCACAAAGCCTCCCTCACTTTACGCAGAAATAGACACCTAATACTCATATGACACTATAAAGTAACAAGCAGTTACTGAGTTCAATTTCTTTCAGCCCCAAAAGTATTTCCTGTGGATCTTTTGACTCTTCTCAAGCCAACAGCCCAGTTTGCCTGAACGACACTTCAGTAGAGGAGTTATCCTGCAGCAATCAGGCCGCTGAAAAGGGCTGACAGTTGTAACTG